AATGCGACAATCGCCACCCCCCCCCCCCCCCCCAAAGTAATTGGTATCTTATAGAAATGCAATGCTGTTTAGTGTTAATAGTTTTGAAAATAATATATGTTTAGGAATCAGTAAACTGAAAAGTAGAAAAAAACATGAACAATGAGAGTAGAATAACATGTAAAGGATATATAAGGCTTATGTGTTTTCTCCTCTATACATAGACAACTCACCTAAATCATCTTTAAAGGACAGTGAGAAATCCTCATACTGAGAAAGATCAAATTCTACTTTTGCACGCGTTACCCCTTTATTCTGAAGCAAAAAAGGTATAGCCTGGGTAGAATTTGCATATACTCCAGGAAAAAGAAATGAGCTCTGGAAAAAACAAACATAATACATCTTTGAACTTCATTCAAAAACTAAAACAATTTATTGAGCAAAGGCAGAATACTCAGACTCCAAATTAAAAAAGGTTTACTGATACTTTAAGCTGACGTGGTCATGTTTTCTGTGGTTTGTGGGGGTAGAAGGGAATTTGTTGAGAAAACTGAACTTGTCACTGTACTACAGGGGTAAGAAACCTTGGAGTCCCATGAGGAATTGCAAGACTCTGACAGCCAAAGGCATCACTGCCACAGACAAAGGCATGATGGAATTTGTAGTTTCACCACAACTGGAAGGCCAAGGTTGCCTACCCGTGCACTACAAAAAACAAAGTTTTTCCATTAGTGTAAAAAAATAACAGAACAGCCTCTCTCATACATGAAAACAATTTTGCTTTTTTGGAGAACCTCATTAAAATGCACATTTTGTTTTACAGCAATCAAATGTGGTAGAGGAGACGCGAAGAACAACTAGCCATGGTACTAGGTTATGTCAGTGACTAGGGGCTTATTTGTTTATCCTGTAGTTCCGCTTTAAAAAAAAGGCAAATATTTCAAATGTCAGGCATGTACCTGAGAAGGATATAATTAGGCTATTTCAGAAAAAGTATGACGTATTAAAAGCCCTTATAAATGATAAATAAAAAACCATGAACAGAAAACGTCAAATCCATTTTGTACAATAATGAATATCAATAAACCGACTAGAAATGACTTACATGACATTTATTGGTGTTTGTTAATTATTAAAAGTGTTACCAGTGGTTAATAAGAAGTCAAAAAAGTTATATTCATTAAAAGCTTTAAAAAGAACAGACACAATTAATTTGGGTGTGTTGGAAATTAATATGATGGCCATCAGTGGAGTCAAATACAAAATTAGGTTGAACTTAACAGACAAATACTAAATACGGGTGGTTACGGGTCAGTGCTGAAGTATTGGTCACATGGTATTTGTGGAAAAGGTTTCAGGCAAAGACATTTAGGCAGAGACAGACAAGCAGCAGCTCTGCCTGAACAATGAGCCTTAGGATATACATACAGTATAATCCTTGACCACTAATCATGTAACATGTTGTCACAGGGAATTACAATTTATTTGTGCAATGGGACACTGAATACCTGATATAACTCTAGATACACCATATAATTTTCTATCTTTTGTAGTAGCTATTTTGTAAACTGTGCTTGTATTTCATGCTTTAACATCCTTTACATTTAGGTTACATTTCTATTTTACAAAATGGAATGGACTTCTTGGTAACGTGACTATTGTTATAAGCAGCTCTATATAATGTGCAGCTTTGCTGCTCGATATCACAAACTAGGTTTTACCCTTGTAAGCTGACATGTTATTTAGATGTAAATGACACTTTTTTTTGTTACAATTTGTGGTCTTTTCAGAACACATAATACTTTGCTGGTGACTAGCTGGAGTTATTCATGAGGAACAGACACAATTTCAGCAAAATCCCTGCAAACACCAAATTATGTACTAATGTGTTTATTTGTCTAAGGCAGCCAGTGTGAAATGTGTTCATACCATGTGACTTATTTATTTTAAGTAAGTATTTAAAGCACACGCTACCAGTGTCACAAACTATAATAGTTGTCTGGCAGGATTACAGCAAATATCCACTACATGTCACAATAAATTGAGGTAAACCTCATACTTACAACAGAAATATCTACTTCTGGTGGCACAACCGATCCTCCAATTCTTAATTCTAAAGTCTTTGTATTCCGCACTGACACCTGACAGAGAGAACAAGATTGTAATCACCTCATGGTATTTTTCAAATAATGGCTATTCATACCCATTAAAAGAACAATAAACCATTAAAGTGGAAATGCAATCAAACAGTTAAATACCCAGCTGAAATCAAATATGTTTACTGTATTACATGCCAAATGATTAGTCATTCTGTACAGACATTGCAAACCTCTTGCACACTACACAACCAGTCAGGCGACACACTTATTTAATGTTTCATCAACAAGGACAGACGGGGCAAGGGGGCATTTGCGCCCTTTGGTTACTATTAATAATATGTGTTTGGCTGGTGACCCTGACTGGAGATACTTCACCATTCAGAAACTGATCAGAGTGGAACCTGAGTCAGTAAGTCATGGTGGGAGATATATTGCTGTGTGCTACCTAATTAGACCTGTGATTACAGCATGTGGCAGTGGGAAGTCTTCGCACACCAACTACCTTTGCAGATCTGAGATGTCATGTGAACAAATGCTGAGAGGCAGAAAGGATGCTGGAAAAATGATGCCCTATTTTAAAAAGGTCACTGGATTGTGTATACCCCCTAGGCCAAGGGTTTCAGTCCTCCTGTTCAGCAATTCAGATTCCTATGTTCACTTTCCCACTCCAATTAGCTGGACATAAAACCAACTGTCCAATTAGCAGCGGTGTGATTCAGGAACCAGGAACTTACGGTTTAGCAATGTAGCTAATACATATGTAATAATAATACATTTAAAGTCAACAAATATGTATCTTAACGTTTTACTGAAGTTCTACTTTCATCCAAATTAACAGACAGGCTTTTGCGCTGTGATTTCATTTCTTTATACTGTATATTTTCACAGTACTCAAGTAATAAAAATATATTGGTGCTCTACGCTTTCAGTAATAAGCATAAAATTAATGTACAGCATACAGCTGGTGACTGAGCATTTGTTGTTTCTTTCCTATGCCGCAGCTTTTATACATTTTACAAATGGGAATGAAAGGTATCATCTTCTGCACAGCTTTAAATTGGAGCTACCACCTAATAAATACTGGAAAATCCCCTTGATACATAGAATCTGCTGGAAGGTTGCTTTGAAACACTTGCATGTTGTATACAAACATTTTCAATATGGCTAGATATTGGTAAAGATAGTTCCTGGGTAGCAACCCTGAATGAATCATTGAGAGTCAAAACCAAAGAAGTAGGAGATGAAGTATGTGGTCTAAGCAATGGTGCTGTCCATGTAGATAATAGCACCAGCATTAGAGCCTATGTCAATGGGCTTTGAGCTTGTGTTGACAGACAAATGCAGTTTGCTTTCAGGTGCATTCAGCCTACATTTAAGATCAGTTTGAGATGCTTCTGAGATCATTCATAGTTCATTGACAGGTGCATTTGAACAGCAGTTGACCTCCTTCTGACCTGCATTAGACCTCCTCCCAAACTGCATTAATATGATTCAAAACAATTCAACACTTTGTAACTGTGTCCATTCATCATGTTGCAGCAGGAGTTGAGAGAGTGTGATGCATCCTTTAGCATTACGAATCCAAAGTAGGGGATGAAGAGTTGAGAATTATAACAGTTATATGACACCAATGGAGTCCCTAATGCAAGGTTCATACCACACTAAAACAATAGTTGGGGCAGCATTGCAATACAGGCATTCATGGCTTATATTCAATTATCAACCTGCCACATCTGCCCCTTATCCCCCCTTCCCCCACCCCCTGCCCAATAACCTTTGGCATGTGTCCTTTACTGAGCAGTTATTGTTTCACTGGGGAGTTCATGTTTTGGCCACAACACTCTGGTTCACTGGCCACTGGTCCAATTACAACTGTACATTTTATGAGGCCTAAAGCTGGCCATACCATTTCTATCTGTTGGCCATTTTAAATCTATCCACTTTTAACTATAACAATCTGCCATATAAATTTGTTTCTAGTTTTGAATGACTAAATTATTAAAACTGGCATGAAAATGGAACAACCACTGCACATTCACAGTGGTTTTAATATATTATTTTCACCATAACATCAATCATTTAGTTACTCCAAAACTGGCAAATATATGGCCAGCATAAGAGAAAGAATGAGTCAATTGTGATTCAGCCCATTAGCTTTCACCAAAAAACTAAAACATCAGTTCTGAATAACCCGCTAAATAGAAGACATTCCATATACAGTACGTAAAATATAATGTTGACAGTTTGGCTTGAAACTAGCAATTTTTACCTCGACTCTGGTGTCAAACTTCATAACCGCTCGTGGAGTGAAGAAGATCTTAAGAGTTGCATACCCTCCCACTGGCACCACACCCTGAGATGGTGTAATCGTCATACCAGGCAGTGGACTTATATCTACTACCTGGAAAGAAAGAAATAAAGACATACTCTATTAGACAATTGTTATGTCTAAATAAAGATTCTACTTTTCAGAGAAGTAATAATTATATTAATCGTAAATAATAGTATTGGATCCCATACAATGCAAGTGCAATTTTGTGTAAACAACGTTAGGATTGTAGAACAGATAAATAGCAGCTGCAGCTTCTGAGATTTGAAACCAAGAAATGTCAGGAAACCTAGTTTCCTTCTTTTAATTTTTTTTATTTGATCAATTCTAACAATGCATCTTCAGCGTATTCAGCTGAAATACCTTCCCAATCCCAATCTGATTACAACCCCACTAAAAATACACCAAACAAAATTGGTTGTTGATCTACCTGGAAATATGCATGATTCATTCCTGTGTTCTGAATAATGGCTGTTTTGCAAGTTGTTAGGCCAGGTGGAGCATGATGAAAGTGTACTCTTTGTTCAGTAAACTGGACACTTGTCAATCCAAGCTGTAGATAAGAAGGAAGCCAAGATTAGTTTATTGTTGGTCACATGGTTAAAAACTAGAGTAGTAACTAAACTTAGCAGGATGTCAGCATATTTAAATGAACCTTTGTATTTAAATATTACCCCTACAGACTTTAGAAAGAAGGATTCTATTTAACCCCTTCATGACTGAGGCCCTTTTTTCAATTTTTGCACCCATGTTATATTCCACATTTTAGGCACTATAATAATAAATATAAAAAAACAAGGTGACCATTAAAATTAAAACCCAAATATGGGCAAAACTTGTATTTTATTTGCATTATTATAAATAAAGGGTACACCTACAACACTGACTAGCCTGATACACATGTTAAAAAACAAAAAGACTTTCAGGGTGGCAATGTAAATAAGAAATATCATGTGTGATATTTAAATAATCTGACTAGAAAAATGAAAAAAAACAATGTGTACATATATATTTTTTTAGTCCTAGGCACAATACATAAAGAAAATATTAAAACAATTTCCCCTAAAGTATACGTCATTGCTCCTTTTGAGAATGTTAGTTTTCGGCATTTCAGGTTGATGCTTTAGCTGTAACACTTTGCGATTCACTGGCCAAGAACACGTATGGGGATAAAAAAAAAAAAATTCCACCACTTTTTTGACAATCACAGCAATAAACTACAAGAACAAGCTTGTCTTGCATGTCCAATGCAAGTACAATTATGGGACATTGTACAAAGCAAATGGCCAAACCCAGAAAATAAGTTAACAGCTGTACTTGAGACATTTAAAGAGTATCTTATACAACTTGCACATGAGAGCCATCAAGGGATTGTAAAAACAAAGTACAGACTGCATGAACTATACTATACTGGTAGCCAGGCAAGGATGCCCGAGTAATAACTGCCATGCAATCTTGAGTTGCTTGTCATAGTCATGACAACACATTTGTCACACACTCCACCACTCCAGCCAGTGTGTCAATTCTTGATTCTGCTTGAAAAAATTTTGCTATTGCAGACATACAACTCCCACAACTTCCAGAGCATCTAAAATCATAATTTGCTAAGATTGCTAAAAATGAACAAGATAAAAGTAAAGCACATACTGTTTGGAAACATGGTAAGAGACAAGTACAATTTCAGCCTGGATCTCTATTTAGAGTTAAGGAACCTGGCTTATTGAAACATGGCCAATACACATTTTCCAATCTTACGGTGAAATGTCAGTGAGAACCTATCAACTGTCTGCTGAACACATAGGGGATGCTAATTGACTTGCATCTGTTAGGAAGGACTTTTTAGAAGTTTCACATGGCGCAGTACATTTTCCTATTAATACAGATAACAACTCAATTGCAGGCCAGGAACCCGCCTAGACATATTCAAGGAATCAAAAGGCCTCCTGTGTGTATCAACGATTATATTATGTAATTAAAATGCATAGTACTGTTTTATAATATCATTCCTTATATTGTTGTTATCTGTATTTTTCAATACTAAGGAAAAAAGACTCTTGTACCATGAGGGGAACAAGTGGCCTGTAGATGTCACTATGGGGTCTATTCACAAAGCTGCCGTAGGCAGCCGAGTGAACAACCGACCCGAAGTGAAGTGAGCCGAACACTGCTCGGCTATTTACTTCAGGCTTGTAAGGCTGATTGCAGCCGTATATCGGCTGAAATCAGCCGTACATCGGGTGGCTTCGGGACGGTCAAACATGCTCAGCATGTTCAGCCGACCCGAAGTGCAGAAGGAGTTCGACTCAGCCGATCCAACATCTGGATCGGCTGAGCCGAACCTCCGGCAGACTACTCGCTGCTGTTCGGCCTATTCTCATAGATGCCGAACAGCAGTGAGTGAATAGCCGAATGCCGCTAAGCGGCATTCGGCTTGGCTATTCTGCTCGGTACCTCTGTGGTACCGAGTAGAATAGAAAAACAGTTACAAAAGTAGAAAAAAAATACAAAATGATTGGGCGGAGCTAGCAGTGACAGATATACCGACTCTTCTAAGCTCTGGTCGTAATGACACATGGGCATCCCTGGTTACCAGGGATGCCCATGTGTCATTACACTGAGAACACAGCGGCTCCTCCGGGTTCTCAGTGTAATGACAGATTACCTGGTAACCAGGGATGCCCATGTGTCATTACACACTGAGAACCCGTCAGAGCCGCTGTGATTTTACAGCGGCTCCGCCGGGTTCTCAGTGTACCGAGGAGCCGCAGTGTAATGACAGAAGGCGTCCCTGGTTACCAGGTATTTCCCCTGGGCTCAGTCGAGCCGAAGCATATGCCTTCGGCTCGACTGAGCCCCTCGGCCAACTTCGGGGGCTGTACAGGCTTTTGTGAATAGCCCATACAGCAGCCCTGAACTGAAGGGGCCCTGGGGCCAAAGCTACCCAAAGGATCAGTCAAAGCTACGGCTAGATCCTTTGGTAGCTTTGTGAATAGACCCCTTTATTTAGTTCCAGTTCCTGTTCATGTTATAATATTATTATTATATTATTATTATACTGGATTTATATAGCGCCAACAGTTTGTGCAGCGCTATTCAATATAAGGAAGACATTACAATCACAATAAAATTCAAGACATGATGGTAAGGCGCTGCCCCTGAGGGCTTACAATCTAAAATGCTCATGGGTAACTAAACTTCTTAATAAAGCACTTAACAGTTTCTCTGACTCCCAGAATACAGGACAAAGCAGACTTGTTTTTTAACAGATTCTGTAAAATATTGTAAACTATCATATATTATACTGTAGATCGCAGGCTTGCAATGCTTTTTCAGCCATAGAGATGCTTTACATACTGAGAAGAGACCCGATTCATGAAAATTATTAACTGAAAACAAATAGCAGGTGCTGAGTTTTTCCAAAATGCATAAACACTCTTACACTATCCAAATGCTAGATTCTGCATTTAAGTATTATGTAATGTGACTGTAAACATTTAGCATATATATGCAATTTAACATCTGTTTTCCCACACATCTTTCTTGTGATTTAACTGTTTTTACAAAGAAATTGAATCAGTTTTTTATTAACACAGACAAATCTTTCTCTTAAATAAAATAAAAAATGTGTTTGTGCTGTCATCAGGTTTTCTAATGGGCTGTATTGTCAGCATCTGTGTAGTGCAGCTAGAATTACCTCTGCAATGCATCTTAGTTTTGCTGAATATCTCTGCTGCACTAAGAGACTGAATTCTCCTATTTCAGGAGAGCTGAATCCTGGATGCCATACCACTTCACATTCTAGATCTTCATAAGCATCAACAATGCCTAAAAAAAGTAAAATGTATATAAAAATGTGTATAACAAAATCAAAAGAAAAAAAGATTTTTGGAAAAGATTAGTGCTTCCTTTTTTCTTACATATGACAGCACAGCAAATGTTTCTTGTTTTTTTTTTTTTTAATAAATCCATATCACACTATGCTTCCCACACCGCAGATTACTAGTATGTCAATTGACCAATGTGTTTGACTGTGGTTTATTGGATACCTGTAATTTTTACTGGTCGAATTTGTTTTTGTTCGGATTTATAGCACATATAAACTTTTTTTTTATACAAACACTTTCATATTGCAAGTTAAAAATAGTTCATTCATGCACAATTCCAAACTATGGAGTCTATTTATCTGCCCAGCAAATCTCTGTGAATGTGTGTTCTGTGTGAATAAAGGCAAAAGCGAACATTCTTAGTGTATTTTCCTTTCCGGTCAAATGTAACATTTTAAAAATAAAATCTTTCCTATGCCCCTCAGCTCCATCTAGTGGTAATAATGCAGTTTTTTTCCAAATGTTACATTCAACCTGAAATGAAAATATACTAAGAACATTATTTTTCGCCTTGACACAGAACAAACATTCACAGAGATTCGCAGGGCAAATGGCTCTGCAAATTAATAGACCCCTCCAGAAGGTCTCCAGGATGCTGTGCAGGCATACTGCAGGAATTGGGATTCCCTATGACTGCTTGATTCCACCTTTTCTGGCTGCACAGTTCAGAAGTCATAGACATTCAACACCTCCCCCTTATTATGTCATTATGCTCCTCCTTTGCATAAAGGACAAAGACAATATACAAAAACTGACAATAAGCAAAATACTAACAATAATTGTGTTAAAAAGTCACAAACAATTCTAGCTGAATTACCTCTTGCTGGGCGTATTGAAAAAGCTATTCCTTTTTCAGTTATGATTGGCTTCCAGCTAAAATCAGCTGGGTGATTTCTGCGATTGTGTAATCTTATGGACGATCTAAATCCTGCCTCAGCTAAAAAGTCATTGTTCGGTTTCAGAATCAGCTCATGAGATGATAGCTCAAGGGCAACAGGAACTGCTTTTGCAGTTACAATGATGTGACCAGAATGTTTGCTGTTTACGGTGTAGGTTATTGACCTGCAAAAAAGTATTCAGAGAATGTATGTTTTAATATTCTTAGAGTTGTTTAAAATAACAGCGATATAATAACCAGCAAAAACAGCACATTGAGCCAGATGCACAGATGAAGCCTGCAGTACTAAATAAAATGCTGACAGTAACCAAAAGGTTATTCCCTTAAGTACAATACATTTTAAAGATGTTAACTGCTTGACTTCAACATAGTAAAAGTAAGTTTCTAACTGACAGTTGGTATACATACTGGGGGGAATTTATCAAAACTGGAGCAGAAAAATCTGGAGCAGTTGTCTATTGCAATCAATCAGCTTCTCTCTCCAGTTTGTTGAGTTAAGGTTTGAAAATAAAAGAGAGAAGCTGAAAATAATACTTAAATAACTTCAACAGTATTAATTTATATATTTTTTGATTGATCTTATTTTTCTGGGAAGAGATGTGTCATGTTTCTGTGCTTTAATAATTAGTTAAGTATAAAGAAAACAAAACAAATGGTGGCTTGAGAGACAGTGCACTTGGAAGCCTGTCTCTAGTCTAGTATAGGTGAAGAATGGCAATGTGACAACTCATTTCTGTGGTAGGGGTCTAAGGAAAAATTGAGCCCTCTGCACTCTACAACCTATGGCCCCCACTCTACTCAGTTGCCTCTTCTACTCTACCCCATACCTCCCAGTACTCCTTTTGGGATCATAAGTCCTCTTCTCAGAAGCTAATTAGGATTTCTCTCAACCAACCATGCTTCATTCTGAAATTTTGAGCAACAATACAATTGAAGGTATTTATCACAGTGGGCACATGGTAACAGGTAAAGGATGGTAACGTAACAGAGGATGGCAGTGGGACATGAGAATAGAGATTTGCATATCAATGTTAGCTCTGGGCAGATCATCCAGTTTACAGTCACCTGGGGCTATTTCAGTATGTATTGAGGTGAAGGTGGGTACTGCCAGTATTCTCTAATGATGCCCCCTGTCCTTAGCTTGTCATATGTGATATACTGTACATAGAAAAATCCTGTCACCCAAGCTGCAAATAACAACACAGTGTATTGGTGGTGGGAGGACATATGTCCCATGGCCCATTGCTCTTTGTCGCACATCTGCTTGTCTACAGTCACCATAAAAGGAATGAGGACTCAGAGCTACTGATTAATCTAATTGATCTGATGGATCTAAATCTGGCTGTGTGCAGATAGCTGTAGGAAAACAAGGTACACTTTTCTGCCTGTATTTAGTAATAATAATAATAATTATTATTATTGTTATTATACAGGATTTATATAGCGCCAACAGTTTGTCCCGCGCTTGACAATAATCCACAAAAGCTTTTTAGGGCATGCATGAGAATTTCCTTGTGATAACATCAGCATGATACTGTCTTTAGTGACCTTTTTGTACCAAAGTCCTACAAAAGATTCTGTTAATGGCTGTTCTTTATGGTTTAAAAAAAAAAATACATTCATTCTTACTTCTTAAACTTCCCCAGTGAGTTTGTTTCAAAGACAACAGGGATGTCAGTCTTTGACATAGGTGGCACAACATGAGAAAGAGGGCTAGTTTGCTGCAGCTCCTCACAGTCTATCTCCACCTGAACCCAGATGTACATGGCAAGACTATTTATGATGTTCAGTTCTTTAATAGATGTAGAACGTACACAGACTTCACCAAAGTCTATTGTGGAAGGACCTGTGAAACATAAAGGAACATGGATAAAACATCAAAAGACAAATATAATTAAATTCTGTAAAGCTCTGTTGCATTCTTTATTTAGCTTTGAACAAAGGAAAGGCAATAAGCTACCTGCCAAAATAGTTCATACAGTTCTCATGTTATTTTCCAGACAGCTTTACAGTCGGCTTTACAACAGAAGCGATGCTGGAGAGTTACCTGTCGCCAGATCGCTTGTGTGTCCCGAAGAAGGCCCCCCCCCCCCGCTGCCCAGCTTCCCGGGCTCCGTTGCCCCCCC